TTTACAAGTTGAGTTAAACCAGTGTGATGTTCAACACTTGTTGAAAGTTTACAAGTTAAGTTAAACCAAGAAGTTTGGCTATCCGAGGTGTGTCACCCCGAGAAGATTGCACAAAGAATGAAGAATATGTGAAAGACGTACAAAATATTCTAAGTATAGAATCATATAGAAGCAGTAAAGAGAGAACAAAGATACAAGCACTTAGAGAAGGAAAGTTATATTAAATATTCAGAAAAGGCACGTCGGCCAAAAGCTTACAAATTATTCTCAAAAGAGAAAAGCAAACGTACAAAAGACATGAAAATTAAGATTCCTCAGCAGCAAGCTGGGTTGGGACCTCGGAAGGCTGTTGAGAATACACCTCGGCCGTCTTCTCCACCGCAAGCTCAGCATCAATCTCTTACAAGGTTTCATCAATACTCTTGTCGACAAGCGAGACGTCGACTGATGCCTTCTCAGCAGTAGCATCATCAGGAACCTCCCCACCCTCCTCATCCTGAGTTAAGTCCAGGACTTGTTCATTCTGAGGAAGGGACTTGGCCCCAGTTGCTTCCTTGGGTCTTCTCACCAGGGTCTCGTCTTCAGATCCAGACTCGTCATCAGATTGAGCTGGTAGAGGAGTTGGAGGGAACAACGAGTCCTCGGGGACCTCAAACTTCTTTAGAAGAGACATCCAACCAATGGTGAAACTCTTGTTGCATGCCTGCCTCACTTGAAGTTCATAAGCCTCCGTGACATCGGCCATACCTTGAGCGTATGCCTTCTCGTCAGCATCCTTGATTTCAGCTTCTTTCGTGGCCAAGGCTTCTTGAAGCTCCTTTTGGGCCTGTTCTATCTTTTCCTCGGCCTCTCTTTTTTGGGCCTCAGAGACCTTCTTGATGTCCTCGACAGATTCCGTCTTCTCCTCGGCGTCAGTTTGGGCTTTGATTGCAGCCTTGGCTTGGTCTTCCAGCTTCTTCATTTTTGACTGTAAGCCTTTATTGGTCTTTTGAAGAGAAGAGAACTCCTTCTTCATCTCGACCAACTTTTCCCAGTTTTCAAAAGACTGAATCGAAAAGGAATGAGCATGCTGAATGGCCTGAAAGTGAACAAAATGAAAGTTATTAGAAAATTTCTAGGTATGAAAAAAAAGGAAAAAAAGTGCCAGATGAAAGACACTTACTTGAACAGACCGCTGAAGCATCAAAGCATAATTCTCGTACTCGCTGAACTCGGCGTTTCGCTCCAGATCACCTGGTAGCAGCAGAGCAGTACTGAGTGCAACGCCGACATTTATATCCTCGGCACTATTATTTGTTATGACTGACTTATCTTCCAAAGTAATTTCGGGAGCCCAAGGGGCAGCAGGCTTCTTAGACCTCGAGGTCGTTGCAGAGGATGACCTCGGCCTTTTTGATTTTGGCGATTCGGATGGTTGAGCCTCAGAGCGCCTCTTCCCAGCAGAGGGTTGAGATTTGTCACTCTCAGCCAACTTGGATATTGGCAAAGCATCCTCAGACTCAACCTGAGTAACTTTAGCCTTTGGCTGACTTTTTTTATTCTTTTCGGCATCGGTGGAGGAAGGGTTTGTGTTGGTTGTGCATCAACATCAGAAGGGATGCTGGCCAAGAGATCTTTTGCAATTGGTTTTGGGCGACCCATCTCGGTAGTAGAAACTGTTCGGCGTCGGCGACAGCACTGTGATATTGGAATCAAGTATGGAAACGAGGTTGATGGCTGATCAGCTGGATCAGAAGTTGACCCTTGATCTGTCCGAGATGTAGACGCAGTCTGTGGAGTTGTGGCAGAAGGTGGAGAAAGGCTTTTCTTCTTCTTCTTTGGGACGTTGGGCATAGCTGACTTATAAGTTGGGATAAAGTTGAGAAGCAAAGACGCCTTCCGTTTGTGAACCGGAAGGTTCAGTAGCTTCTTCAAATCCTTGCTGGAAATGAAGGATTGGCGAAAGTTCTTTGGAGGCTGAGGAAGAACTGCAAAGACAGAACAACACAGACATTAGAACAAGAATATAGAAAACTTTGTACAGGAAGATAAGAAAACTTATGAAGGGTGGCCCTTACCAGCTCTTTTCCCAAGAACTGTTCGGCTTAAGGGATAAAGATGGAGGTCATCGTTTGGCTGAAACTCCCAATTGCCCGAGACGATGAAATAATCGTCTCCAGCTCCCTTGTTGGAGTCTGGGAGGTCGGCTACGATTTTATATTAAGTGGATCTCGGCTTGAGGTAGTAGACATAGTCCGTGTCTTTTCTAAGGCGACACATGGTATAACAGTACTGGAACTCAGCAAGCGTAATCCTGGCATTCTCTTGTTTAACTAAAGCTATGGTACCAGTAATAACTCGGTAAGAATTGATGGCGAGTTGCATTGGGTTCAACTTATAGAAGTGAAAGATTTGACGGAAAAAAGGATCAAGTGGAAACTGAAGTCCATACTCAATAAAGGCAACTACAGGGAAGGGCATGGAGTGATCAGTAGGCATGATGGAGTCATCATCACCGGCTAACCTCAGATTGACATCGGGAACTCAGCAAGCGTAATCCTGGCATTCTCTTGTTTAACTAAAGCTATGGTACCAGTAATAACTCGGTAAGAATTGATGGCGAGTTGCATTGGGTTCAACTTATAGAAGTGAAGGATTTGACGGAAAAAAGGATCAAGTGGAAACTGAAGTCTACACTCAATAAAGGCAACTACAGGGAAGGGCATGGAGTGATCAGTAGGCATGATGAAGTCATCATCACCGGCTAACCTCAGATTGACATCGGCTGGGATTTCAAACTCTTGCCTAAAAAATTTTAGTTTGGATGGGGTGTCTACCCGATGTTTCCACATACCCATAATGTCGGGATAACTAAAGGTATTGGATTTTAGAAAGAAGATGTTTCAAATAGGGTTATTGGGACCTTAGCAAAAAAACCTAGGTTTGAGCTGGTATAGAAATTTGTAAGGGATGCTTTAGTTTTTCCTAAATTGTGGGTTCTACAGACAAATCCCAAACCTAAATCTATGGAAATGAAGATTAAAAGCACGAATCTGGAAAACAGAAACAAGAACGAGTTTTAGAATCACGAACAAAGATGGTCTATCAAGAGCATAAAGAACACAAGAAGTATAGGGCCAAGAACAGTGGCAAAAGTACAGAGAAATGGTGAAGCAATGTGTGTGTTCAAGATATGGGCAAGGGTAAAATCGTGGAAAAACACATTCAGATGTATGATTCATAAGTTAAAGGTTTGAACAAATGTAGTAATGGCAGCAAGTAATAGAAAACATCAAAGAATTGAAAACGGAAGGAACAGTAAACTCACCAAAGAAACGAAGCCGGTGTAAGAATCGCCGACGTCAGTCAATGGTTACAGAAGTAGCAGAACGACAGAAGCTTCACCAGAAGGAAGAATGAAGGCAGTTGCAGAGCTTGAGGTCTGGAACAATGGTGTATTCTCGAGCCAGAGAGAGAAAAAGCAAAGGAATCGATGTAAAAGTAAAGAACACGAAAGAGGGAAAAAAAATTTTTGTCAAAAAACTTGAAACGGCGGCAAAAGAGGACAATAAATGCGCCTGGGACATCGAATGCGTCAGACGGCGCATGTAGGTGCGAAACGACTTATAGGCGCGTCACAAGCACGATCCAATAAGGATGAAATGCATGAATGAAAACGGTTGAAAAGTGATGTTTGACAGCTCATACGCATAAAGGAATTCATTGGAATTCTTGATCTTTAAGAAGACATGTCGGCCTATGATGATGATCTCGGATTAAATCGATGAATTAACATGGGGCACAGATATAGGTTCCATCGCCTTAGAATGCCGAGGTAACAGAACCTAGAAGGGGCAGTTGTGGGGATATATTTTTGAGTACCGACATGTGACAAGGTGACGCCAACGTGTCAGCCGAGGTGCCACTTGTCCAGGTCATGTCGCCGAGGTGATCTCGATTAAGTCGAGGTTATCTCCGAAGATATCGGAGTCCGAGATAAGCGGATAAAGGACAAGAGTCCTAGAATGAGGAAAGACTTCAAGATGGATAAGGATAATGATTCTTAGGGAATCTGTCCTTATCTCTTGAGGAGTCCAAAGTATATGCTGAACAGGAGTCCATAGAAGTCAGGCTTCTAGTGGGACGGGGATTGAATTAATTATAAAAAAGAGGCACCCCCGCGGGTCTAAGGTACGCAATTTATATTCAGTACAATGAGATTTGCACTATTGATTATCTTTGAGAGATATACTAACTTGATCGTCGGAGTGCCTCCGGGTGGACGAACCACCGCCGGAATCTTCTCTTTCCGTTACAGGTTAGCCAGGTGTCATCTATTCTGCTAGTATTTTCCAACTGAATATTGAGTCGGGCAGTGTGATCAGAAAATCACCCACACAGAAAGAAAAAGGGGGGACATGTGTTCAAACTAGGTCAATGTTAATGCTTGAACCATGATACCGATTCCTTTAATTAATAGGTCAACCAAGACGCCTAATGTGGACGCAGCCCATTGTAGTTGTGCGTTCAAACTAAGTCAATATTAATGCATGACCCATCGTACTCACTCCTTTTCTTGAAGACTCTCTAATGAATTTCCTGACAAAAAATAAAAATTTAAAATTCATGGAAAGTTAGTAATAAGAGAGGGTGGAGAACGATGATGACTAATTTAACTTAACAGTCTCATATCCTTTTGGAAAACCTATTTATTCTCCTTTTTTTTTTTTTTGTTTAAATTAAAAGATAAGTGATGCTATAGAAATAACCATAGTTTTATCATATTTTCTTACTAACTGACACAAAAACACTAGGTTCGTATATTTACAAATACTCGTAGGATTCACCATCTTTGTATGGATCTACTATCATTTTATTTAGTGATAAGAAAATTTAATAATATATTTGTATAGCATTTAAATTAATATTTACTTTAAAAAATCATTGAAACCTTGAAGCAATTAGGATAACATATTGCATATGAACAAGGGAATTCATTTGTTTCACGTAAAGGACTAAAATGGATAAAATAATATCATCTTAAAAAGTGAAAATGTTCAAGCTTACAACGATTGACTTACAAGGGACAATAAAGGGGTACAAATTAAAATATATAGTATGCTTCAACATAGGATTACAATCTTAATTCTATTTGCCACACTTGTAGTACACACAATTCAACCACACAAAAAAAATAAAATAAAAAATATGCTATGCAGAACTGACAATAGTTCTTTTAAAAACACAAAAACTGATAACAGAATTAGACACAATAACCTTATCGAAGGAAACCATAGCAAGCACTGGTCCTATTTGGGGAGTAACTTTGGGATAGACTTAATGAAGAATCCTACAAACAAAGGCACAAGAACTCCAGTTGGATCCCCCAAAAGGCAAGCAGCTATTGTGCTAATGAATATGCTTATTGTCCTCCAAATATTGTTACCACCACTCCCACCATTTCTGTTGTTGGTTTCCACGGACTTCAAATCCATTTTTTCAAGTGTCATAGCGAAATCATCAGTACTTCCATCATTATCACCATTTGTCCAAGCTTCGTGCACCATTTGAGTTATGCAATACACATGAAAATGATACTTATTGCATCTAGAAACATAAGAGCAACCCGCATTGGGCGTTTTGGTACCCAAAGGTGTTTTCTGGTTGCATTTTTTGCACTTTGATGATGATGAGACCTTGTTGTCGTGAAGAATGAAATCCATGCCACTAATGCATAAGTTGGCTTTTAGGTTGCTACAACACGGGTGTAAAGCTAAGTTTCTTGCATTGCAAGCATAGAAATAGCCTTTTATATAGCCCCCGCATGCATCACAAGACCTGTTTTTTGTTCATTGATCGGCAAAAAAAAAGTAATATCTTATTAATGATACTAAAACATTACAAAAGGGAGGAAATTTACAAAATATCTAATGACTCTTTATGAAGTTGTGCTATAATAGATTGGTAATAAGTACTTAGTTGAGCCAAGATTTTCTTTTATGGAAGATTTTTAATCACCTGAGTGCTTAGGTACCAAAAGACTGTGTGAGGAGGAGAAGAAAATAAAAGAAAAAAAAGAACTCCATTAAACACAAAGAAGAAACGGTTAAAGTTCAGCAACAAATAAATTCATATTAAGAAATGCCAGAGACCAGTAACTCAGACACAAAAAATAAATATATAAACACAAAATTTCAACAATACCTTGAGTGTGTCGAGGTCGAGGACGGTTGATGACAAAATTCAAAGATGGATCCTGGGAAAATCTCAAGGGAAATGGAATGTTTAGGAGACATGCACTCCTCGTGTAGCTCATAGTCACAGTGCTTACATCTGTATCCTGATCCACACCCTTTCTGTTTGCATCCATCGCATGTGAATCGTTTGTTGTAGCTTTTCTTCTCAAGCTTATAGCCATGCTTTGGGCAGCAGCCTTGAGTTTTCTTCACAATCGATTTGTCAATTTCAATAGCTTCAAGGGCCATCCCATCAAACAAAAAATAAAAAATAAAAAAATTCAAAGTTAGATTAAATTCAAATTACACAATCATATTTTCTAGGTAAAATTATGGGTATTCAATGTTTTTGAATGAGAAATGCTACATGTCACTTTTTTTTTTTTTTTTTGGGTGACCACGCTCCTTCTTTAGAATTAACAAAATAATAAAAATAAATAATATCTTGCATATAAAACGGTAAAAGAAATTGGAGATATATATGATACTCTTCAGTCTAGATATCATATGTTGCATACCAAGAACAAGTTATAATAAGTTATGGGTCAATAAATCACAAAGACAAAGAAAATAAATTAAAATTTATATCCAAATTCTAAACATACATGTGTATATATATAAGCATATACACAAATGGAAAATCTTGATATTACCTGGCTGCTGAGCTACCATACGTCGGTCATGAATTTCTGGAACTGGATTTTGTAACACAATTTGCATTTCCCGGCTCTTGATTGGCGAGGTTTGCTCAAAGAGCTCAAACGCTTTTTTTTGCTCTTCGAGCTTCTTTATGACTTTCTTTGGATCTCCGATAATTAAAATGGTCACCTTTTTTTCTTCATCATCTACATCTACTGATTTCACTCCAAGAATTTTTCGATATCCCTCCAACTTGTCCTGGCATCCGTAGCACTCGCAGTGGATATTCATCTTGATAACATAAGTCTTCATATCATCAACCTTTGAGTAGGCCATTTGAGACTCAGAATAGCTGGGTTTTCACAAAGAAATCCACCAAAAAGTATAATAATTAATGAAAAAACCACAGTAATTTAACAAAGACTAATAAAAACGTAGTTTACTAGGAACACATAGACAAAACACAAAATATATACACATAGAATGAAATTTTACAAAATTTATTTCTAGTATCTCCTTCTAAAAAATTCTTTCCCCATTTTAGAATCTAACTTTCTGATCAATTGTTGTATTTCTAAAATTATTGCAAAAAATAAGTGTTGAAAACATAGGATTTATATTCTTACCTTGATAGAAGAGTAGCCTAATGGAAAATGGAAGGTTTTGACAGTTTTTTTTTTTTTGAACAAGAAGGTTTTGACAGTTAGAAATGGCAAAAAGGACAGAGGCTTTAATCTGTGTGCGTCTGTGCTGAATATGGCAAAAGTGTGTAGGCTTTTGGTGTCTTATATAGCAGCATGTTAGTGTTAGTTTTGTCTTTCTGCATGTAAAAAGTGAAGCTTCATGGGAAACTGTACCCTAACGTACCAGGTTGCTTCGTAGAATCTATGACAGTGCTATTTTTTTTTTTTAGGGCATTGATTCAGACCTTCAACCTTCCCACTAAGGATCCTCTAGAATGAAATTTTCTTAAAGTTTTTTAAAACGTTACATTTTGTAGTTGAGATTTACTGGCAAATCACATAAAAAAAATTGATGTGATTTGCCAGTAAATCTTAACCACACAATGTAGCACTCTAGGAAACTTTAAGAAAAAATCACTCTAGAGGATCCTTGCTCCTCCCCTACCACTCCACAGACACACACGCGCGGGGTTAGAGATTGGGAGGGAAGGAGAAGAAGAAGAAAAAATAAATAAATAAATAATGACCAATAAAAAATAAAGGGGTTATGGGGGTGACTTTTGAATCTTTATTCTTTTTTTTATTAGTAATGATTTATACCCTCACAAAATATGACCTCCACAACTTTATTTATTTGTAATTGGTTCAAGTATGAAAGAAAAAAAAAAAATACAAACATATGATTAGTCCACATCACTATAGAGGTGGTAAGAGTCTCTCCAAAAAGAGGTCCAAAACATTTTTCCTTTTTTATTTGTTAATTGTTGGATTAGTATTTGTGAAAGTTAACATTTCACCTATGCAAAGTATCAAGTAGTTGTTTTCTAATTTAAACTTTTCTTAAGAAGAATTAAATCCATAATTTCTCCCTTAAGACTAAGTCTTTAGGGGAATTATAATGGCCAACGAAGTTAGCCTTTCTAACTGGTTAAAATGTTTGTTTGTTTGTTTAATTTGTTTCACTAATTTCATTTATTTATTTATTATTAAAACACGCTTTAAATAAATTTGATATACAAGCAATAATTTAATACACTTGCTAGTATATCAAGTATGTTTTAAACAATAATGTCATACACTTATTATTTTTTAATTACTAATTGACGACTAATTGACGTAGGAGGAAATAGTTAGGGGAGAACTATTTTAAATTGAGATAAGAATATTTTGTATTCAGTTCACATTTTGTGACTTGAAATATTTTATTAGGTTGGAGATTTCTTAAAAGTTTCAAAATTTTAATTAATTTTTATTTTTTATTATTTGTTTATTTATTTATTTCTTTTAATAATCTTATTTATTTAAATTTTAAATATGTATTTGGTTTCAAAAGTAATAGGTATGTCTGTTCCTAACAGACACTATAGAGCCTTTTTATATAGGACTCTAACATTGGAAAAAAATATACTACGTTCTCTCTCTTCTCTCTCTCTGTCTCTATCATCTTTATTGTATTTTTATGTTCCATATTTCTGGACAATCGATATATTCTTGGCAAATTCTTCTGGTGCAATTATGCATTGTGTCAAATCCTGTAAAGTTTTGAATTGTATCTTGAAGTCATTTGTGATCATTAAAACCTGCACGGAAGGAGCGCATAATGACTTTAGGACAGTGTCTTTGATGTGCCTCTCACAATCACACATGCTATTTTCTAAACTCTTTTCTTCATCTTTTTCTTTTTCTGTTATATATATGTATATATAATTTTATTGAATTGTAAAAGCTTATTTTTCAGAATTTGTTTTGCTTTCAATTTTATTCTATAAAATCGATTTAAAATAAATTATTGTTCAATTCCTCTAACAATCTAAAGTCGTTGTTTCTGTAACATATCTTTTAATTATTTGTGTTTTATAATTGCTTTTGTTGGTCTAGAACAAATCTATTAAAAAAAAAAAAAAAAAAAAAAATGAATTTTTGTTTCCCGTCGATTTGGTAAAATCTAAAATTTTGATTTTCTCCATCAATTCGGTAAATGTGAATCCCTTGTTTGATTACAATACAATATATAAATTTGTTTGTATTGTAGGAGTGAGTCCCTGCTTTGATTACATTGATTGCATGTAGTATTAATCCTATTCAATTTTTTTTTTTCTTTTTCGGAAATTGTGTAACTTTGTTTGAGAATATTGACTTTTATATATATATTAATTCACGGAAGTTGCAAAATTTGTTGTTTATGTGTAGGTTTTTTTTTTATATTAATTATTCTTAGGAAAGTTGTTGAGTAAAATCAAAATGTTCACATGATAAATTATTTTGCTTAGATTTATGATATTTAATTAGCATTGTTCATGTTATAAACTATTTTGTTCAGATTTGATTTGTATAAAAAATATTTTGTCACATTTTATCTATCCCTAAATTGTTGGCAATTAATTTTCAATTACAAATTTAATAATATTTGTGATTGTTTGATTGTTGTCTCTGACAGATTTTATAATTGTTTACTCTCTTGTACCTTAACTAATTTATTTTTATGGCTAATTTAGAATAAACTAGTAGTGTGAAACCTGAAAAATTTAATGGTAACAATTTTGAAAGATGGCAAAAACAAACAAAATATTGGTTGACCGTGTTGGATCTTATGTCTGTCATAGAAGATTAGGATTTTGTTGGATCTTGGTTGTCACCCGAACAAATCGAATTTTATTGTTATAACAGAATCCTTAGTGTGCTGTCTAACCATTTATATGATATGTATTAGTCAATCACCTCGACTGCAAAAGAACTATGAAAAACCTTAGAGGCCGAATATGAAATTGTAGATACTGGTATTGATAGGTTCATTGTCTCTAATTTTAATAGGTATAAAATGAAAGATGAAGTACTTGTAGGAGGCCAAATTCATGAGTTTCAAGAACTATTTAGAAAAGAAAAAAAGAAAAAAAGGAAAAATGGGGACAACTTTTAGTGAGGAGTTTAAAGTGTCTTGCTTTATCAATAAATTACCTCTATCTTGGCTCTCTCTAAAAACCTCCTTCCCCGGCCTCTTTTTGGGCTGGCCGGCCATTGCCTTTGGCTATGGTGGTCGGCTGGCCTAGCTCGCTTCGACGGCTGTCTTGTTAGTTTCTTCTTTCAATAAACTTGAGTCTCCCATTTTTCCCCACTTAGGTGTATTTTTTGTTTGCTGCGGGAGAGTTTTGGTAAGTCGGGGGTCGTTCAGGTATTTCTTCAGGGGCTGTCCAGGTTTGTCTTCGGTTGTCTTCTTGTGTTTCAACCTTGCTGTTATAGCTGATTCATCAAGGGAGTCCAGGAATTTCATTCGAGCGCTTTTGGCGAGTAGGAGCTTGAGGGGTGCACTCTGGTTCGTAGGCGATCAGTTCTTTCCGGTTTTCACTCGAGCGCTCCTCCTCGAGTGAGAGTTTGAGGTGTGAATTTCTATCATTTGTATGGAGGTGTCCCAACGGGTAGTCGGTGTTCGGTGGGTGTGTGGATCCGTGGTGTGACATTGAAGACCTGTGAGGTAGAAGTCTTGTTGGCTATGGAGTTCGGCAGCAGCATAGGTGTGGGCTGCAGCAGAGGCTTTGGTACTGGGTGATGTGTGGGTGTTTACGGGTGTTGCGATCTGTGGATCTGTGGGTGTTGTGCAGGGGAGTTGAAGCAGCTTGGAGTCTTCAGTAGGGGTGTTGCTGTGGATCTTTGGGGTTTTCTTGGCCGATGTGGGTAGTGGGTTTGGTTGGTGGCTGTGAGTGTTGATTGTCCTTAGGAGTGCTCGGTTGCATTGCGTATTGCATGCTCGGAGTTTGAATCAGATTAGAACTTCCCGCGCCATGGAGTGTGGCCTTGGGTTTTGTCAGTGGGTGGCCGATGGTGTGCAGATGGGCATTGTCAGTCGGCGTAGTAGGTTGCTTTTGGTGCTAGGGTGGCGTGGGTCTTGGCTAGGCTTTGGGAGTGTAGCATGTGGGTGTGGCTTAATCATGTGGGAGTGTAGCAGTCTGTGGGTGAAGGAAATGTGGGTTATCAAAGCTTGGTGTTGCAGCAGCAGCTATGACGTGGGTCTAGGGTTGTAGCATTGGGAGTTGTAGCAGCAGTGTGGGTTGTTGTTAAGATGATTTAAAATCGTGAGCCCTATAACAGAGGTGATTAAAATATCTGGGTTGATTAGATGTGTTTCTAGTTCGGGCTGCTTTGGGAGTTGGTTTAGTTATCTAGTTTGGTTTGGGTGTTTTGGTGGATTGATTATGTGGAGATTCATGTATTTTATTTTTTTAGTTAAGTTCTTCTTAACTCTTTTAAAAAAAAAAAAAATAGAGAGGCTTAGGGGTTGGTTGTATGGATGCGAGTAGGAGTAGTAGGGGTATTTTTATACTTCCGAATCTCTCTCGAGGCATGTCATCTTCTTGTGCCTTTAATTTCATGCTGTTAAATGAAATTTTTCTTTGCTGATAAAAAAAAATAAAATTACCTCTATCTTGGAATGACTTTGCTAAACGTCTTAGGCACAAACAAGGAGATCTGTCATTACCTCAACTAATTAATACACTTAGGGTGGAAGAGAAGCATAGATCAAATTTAAAAACTGTAAAAGAGAAAACTCCTAAGGTAAATTTGGTAGAGAATGTGAATAAGAATAATTCCAATAATAGAAATAACTTTCGACCTAAAGGTAAAATTTTCAAAAACAACCTTAATTTTAAATTTAGAGGTCAAAATGACAAACACCATAATAACAACTACCAAGCCAATGCTAATAATTTTAAGGGACAAGAGAGTGGCAAAATGTTGTGCTATGTATGTATGGAAGAACCAATCATTATGCTATTGATTATTTTTTTAAGAAGACTGATGAGTATAAACCAAGATTCAACAATAAGCAAAGGAAATCAAGGTCATAATGCTCAAGTGAATATGATTTTGGATAAAGAAGAAATTGCTGGACCATCTTTTAGGTATAATTCTGAAATTAATTTTACTTTTGAATAGCAAGATTGGTGGTTAGATTCTGGGGCTAATATACATGTGTGTTTTGATTGTGGTTATTTTAAAACTTTCTAGAAATCAAGTGGATGAAGTGTAACTTTGGGGAATGGATTACTTTGAGAGATGTGCGATATGTTCCTGAAGTTAGAAGAAA